TTTCTGGGTTCCCATCTCCTCTCTTTGGGGTTATTCCCAATTTCTGGGTTCCCTTCTCCTTCCTTTGGGGTTATTCCTGATTTTTGGGCTTCCAGCTCCTTCCTTTGGTATTAATCCCTGATTTTTGGGCTCCTGGCTCCTTCTTTTGGGATTATTCCAAATTTCTGGGTTCCCTTCTCCTTCCTTTGGGGTTATTCCTGATTATTCCCAATTTCTGGGTTCCCAGCCCATTCCTCTGGGGTTATTCCCAAGTTTTGGGCTCCTGGAGCCTTCCTTTGGGTTTATTCCCAATTTCTGGGCTCCCAGCTCCTTCCTTTGGGTTTATTCCCAATTTCTGGGCTCCCAGCTCCTTCCTTTGGGTTTATCCCCAACTTCTGGGTTCCCTTCTCCTTCCTTTGGGATTATTCCAAATTTCTGGGCTCCCAGCTTCTTCCTTTGGGTTTATTTCCAATTTTGGGCTCCCGACTCCTTCCTTTGGGATAATTCCCAATTTTTGGGCTCCTGGCTCCTTCCTTTGGGGTTATTTCCGATTTTGGGGTGATTTCTGACAACTTGAACAATCCCCAGTGCTGCACACAGGGTGTAGGATGATTTGGGGCGTTTAGGGGGCTTTGGGGTGTAAAATGGTCAGTTTTGGGGTGGTGCTTGGGGGATGTGGGGGCTCAGTTTGGGGCAGTTCCTATAGGAAGATGCGCTGTATGGAAATGTTTGGGGTGAGGTCTGGGTCCCTTACAGACAATAAAGGGGTTTGGGGTCGATTTGGAGCTGGTTTTGGGGTTTTGCCCAGTGCCCCTATAGACAGGTGGTGGGTGGGGTCCCACAGTGAATTTCCCCTTTATAGGATGAATTTCTCATCTGTAGGTTGGATTTCCCCTCTATTGGGTGAATTTCCCCCCAAAGCTTCTCTCTCATCTATAGGGTGCAGTTTTATCCTCATCATTATTTGCTGTTTATTACGATTTCTTATCCTTCTCCCTTCATTATTAATTATCATTATTGGGTTTTAATTACTGCTTATTTCTATTTATTGTTCATTATTCTTATTATTTAGGGACCTCATTCAACCCAACCCAAATTTGGGCATTCTCAAAATGCCAAATTTCCCCAAAAAATCCCTCAGAACTTCCAGTTTGGATTTTCCAAGTTTATTCCAGCTGGGACTGGGGATGGTCAGAGCCACCACCTCCCTTCCCGTGGCTTTCCCACCCTCAGGAGCACCAGTAAAAACCCCCATTCCCAAAAATTCCATATAAAAGTCCTACTAGTTCCTAAAAAAAATCCTTCAAAAACACAAATCCAGGGAGTTTTTTGTTAGAAAAAGGGGAAAAATTAGGACGGGGTGAGGGCAGGGCTTGGAAGGATGGAGGGGAATAAATCAGTTGGGTCTTCTGGGGCTAGAAAAAAGGAATATTCCCCATTTTTCCATTAAAAACTGCAACAGGAAAATGAGTAAACCATCCATGAGGTCCCGGATTGTATCAAAAATAGACAAATTTGGTCGGCTGGTGGGAAAAGTGCAGCTTTTTCCTGGAGAAAAGAGAATGAGGAGACAAAAAATCGCTGTGGGATTGGAGCACAGGGATGGGGCTGGATCCCCCTCGCCCCTGAGTGGAGCTGCTGTGGGTTTTGGGGTCGGGATGGGGATGAGGATGAAGATGAGGATGAGGATGGATCCTCCCATCCCGGAGCTGTGCTGGTCCCTGCAGATGTCCCGCAATTCCCGCAATTCCCTAAGTTCCGGTGGGATGTCGCTGCAGCTCCTGCTCCTTGAGCAGCGCGATCTGCAGGAGGAAGGGATGGAGGGGAGGCTGTGGGGCCAGGCCGTGTCCCCCAGGCCGTGTCCCCGTGTCCCCAGGCTGTCCCTGTGTCCCCCAGGCTGTCCCTGTGTCCCCAGGCCGTGTCCCCGTGTCCCCCGGAGCTGTCCCTATGTCCTCCGGGCCACGTCCCATGGGCTGTGTCCCTGTGTCCCCCCACGCTGTGTCCCCTGGGGCTGTCCCCGTGTCTCCCAGGCTGTGTCCCTGTGTCCCCTGGGGCCATGTCCCCCAGGGCTGTCCCTGTGTCCCCCCAGGCTGTGTCCCCATGTCCCTGAGGGCTGTGTCCCCTGCGCTGTGTCCCCATGTCTCCAGGCCATGTCCCTGTGTT